AAAATGTAAATGTTACAGAAGAAAACGTTAATATTACAAAAGAAAATGTAAATGTTAAAGAAGAAAATGTAAATGTTAAAGGAGAAAATGTTAATGTTACAGAAGAAATTGTTAATGTTACAGAAGAAAACGTTAATGTTACAGAAGAAAATGAAAATGTTACAGAGGAAAATATAAATTTTACAGAAGAAACTGTAAATGTTACAGAAGAAAATGTAAATGTTACAGAAGAAATTGTGAATGTTCCAGTAACAGAAGAAAATCAAAATATTCCAGTTACGGAAGAAATTGTAAATGTTTCAGTTAAAAAAGAGGATGGAAACTTTTTCTGTCAGGTGGAAAAAATAAGTCAACTGAAAGAAAGTTTCCGTGAAACAGATTTAGACCAAACTAAGAAAGAACATGAGAATGAAAAACAGGTAACGCAAGACACACAAAAAGATTGGAGAAAAAGGAAGAAAAGAGCAGAAGAGGACACAGAAAGAGAAAAGAACAGAAGAGGACACATAAAGAAAAAAAAAAAAGAACAGAAGAGGATACAGAAAGAAAGACAAAAAGAGACGAACCAATAATACAGTGAAGTTGTTGGACAAAGAAAACATTGAAAATTTTATAAACAGTTTATTTATTATATTGAAAGACACAAAACTACAAAATTGTTGACATTATTTATATGTATATTGTTTTATATATCATTGGTACACTTTTATTATTATACGTGTCAAGAATTGTGATATATTCGTGATCTCATTAGTCAACATTGACAAAAACAAATTTTCTTAATTTTAATATTCTATTGAGATAGCAGGTGCTTGATTAGATTTTGTTTAATTGTATCTAATGATTTAATATTTCGCAATTATTTAAATTTCGAGACGAAATTCTATTTTGACGGAGGGCAGTGTTGTAAACATTCAATAACGCGGTTTTACCTTTGTGTTAACGTAACGTCGTTCCCGGCAAAATTGGCAGTTGCCGATTTAGCGTTACGAAATTCCGCCAACATGTGGCATTCGAATAACATCTTTGTTTTCTAACTTGTTATTAATCCTACATTTCTTTAGTTACTTGTATTTATATGCTTTATATTGATAAATCGGTGTCGAGACGTATGAAATCGTGATTGCTTTCTTTATAATCCAATATTTACGTATGTATTGACAGTGATTTATATGATTAACCTTGACCAGTAGCGACCTATTTTCTTACGCGCAAGGATAAGGCGTGATAAGTATTATAAAAAGGGGATTTTCCGAATAGCAAAACGAATTTGAACTCATCTTTACAGAAACTTAATAGGTAAATACTTCACGCACGAAAATCACAGAAAACCGTTAAACATATTGTACTTTCATTCTTTGTAGTAATTTATAGTAATAATAATAATTTCTATTTCTTAAAATAGTAGTTTAGTTGTTATTTTATTTAGAAAACCTGGCTAATGTATTTCGAAAAGCTATTGAATAGAATAAATATCTACAGACTAAAGGTATTGTAAGAAAGATTGAGAACAATCTTTACATTGGGCATTCTTGGCAGAGGAAAATAGCAAATGAGAAAATACAAACTGTGGTAATCGCTGAATGCATCAATGGAACTTGGATCATTGTGGAAGGACGGCCGTCTGAATGAGGGTCTGGAGGGGGTCTTCATTTCTGTATTTGTAAAGCAAAATACTGTCCTATGAAATTTTGTCCCCCAAGACAATATTTCATGACTTTGTAGCATGAAATATTGTCCCATCTATGAAATATTGTCCAGAAAAGGACAAAATGTTGTCTAGTTAAAGGAAGGTTGTCCAAGGTTATATGTTGTTATATTGTTATACCAAAGAAGAAATCCTGGATAATCATAGGTCTGTTCTATGTTTCTTTGGAATTTCAACCAAAGAAGAAGAGCTGGATCTTCCATCACTGTATTGGATACATAAACTACATAAGTGTCCTTACAAACAACGGTATATTGCTGGGTCTTCCAAGTGCTCCATGAAACCTCTTTCTAAATTATTAACATCTATTTTATCAGCAATCAAAGCCGGGCTTAAAAGTTATTGTGAAACTGCCTATTCGAGAGGTGGCGTGAATCTGATGTGGATAATAAAAATTCCAAAGATCTTTTAGAGTACATACAATCTAAGAATCTCTCATCTTGCAATAGTATTAAAACATTTGACTTTTCTACACTTTACACAAGTATTCCCCATTCCAAATTAAAAGACAAATTGAAAGAGTTGGCATTGCTTTCTTTCATAAAAAAGAATGGCGAATGTAGATACAAGTATCTTGTCTTGGGGAGGGATAAATCCTACTTTGTAAAGAATCGCTCTGATTCAAACAAGAAAATCTCTGAAACTGACATTATCAAGATGCTTGATTTCTTGATTGACAACATATTTGTTACGTTTGGAGGACGCGTTTTTCAACAGACTGTCGGCATTCCAATGGGAACCAATTGTGCCCCTCTTCTTGCCGACTTGTTTCTTTATTATTATGAGGCTGACTTCATACAGGAACTTCTCAGGAGGAAAGATAAGAAGTTAGCAATATCCTTTAACTTTACTTTCCGCTATATAGACGATGTCCTTTCACTAAATAATTCAAAATTTGGTGAATATGTTGAACGCATCTATCCCATCGAACTAGAGATAAAGGATACAACAGATACAGTTAAGTCTGCCTCATATCTTGACTTACATCTAGAAATTGACAATGAGGGTCGGTTGAAAACATAACTTTACGACAAAAGAGATGATTTCAGCTTCCCAATTGTGAACTTTCCATTTCTATGTAGCAACATCCCAGCAGCGCCTGCATACGGAGTATATATCTCCCAATTGATACGATATTCCCAGGCTTGTATTTCCTATCACGATTTCCTTGATAGAGGGTTGCTGCTCACAAGGAAGCTATTAAACCAAGAGTTCCAAATGGTGAAGTTGAAATCATCCCTTCGTAAATTTTACGGACGCCATCACGAGTTGGTTGACCGTTATGAAATAACCGTTTCACAGATGATATCGGATATGTTCCTTATGTCGTAATTACAATCCACTTCCTTTTTCATCACGAATGTGATGTACCGAATTAGACTATTTACCGGATTTGTAATAACATGAGCAACACGACGGGTGCCACATGTGGAGCAGGATCTGCTTACCATTCCGGAGCACCTGAGATCACCCCCAGTTTTTGGTGGGGTTCGTGTTGCTTAGTCTTTAGTTTTCTATGTTGTGTCTTGTGTACTATTATTTGTCTGTTTGTCTTTTTATTTTTTAGCCATGGCGTTGTCAGTTTATTTTCGATCTATGAGTTTGACTGTTCCTCTGGTATCTTTCGCCCCTCTTTTTTGAGACAATATTCCATAAATGGATTGTCAAGAAATTTTGTCCCATGGAAGGGAGGTTATAAACATTTAATATTTTGGATAATGATATCATTAAGTTGTTTTATTTGATTGATAATAACAAACAAACCTGCATAATTAATTCATGTATCAATTTATGGTTATTCACATACTTTTCATGAAAAATATTCAAAAATTTCCAGAAACGCTCACAACTTTATGGCAGAGGACTTCTCAGGGAAGATATAAGTAGATTAGGAATTATTTTTATGGACAGTATTTCACAGTGAAATATTGTCAAGGATAGAATTTCACAGTGAAATATTGCCATGTACAGAATTTCATAGCGATATATTGTCCAGAAGGAGGTGACAAAATCTCATGGACAAGGACACTATTTCATGATGAAATATTGTCCTGGACAGTATAACATGATGAAATAGTGTCCGCTGACAATATTGGATATGAAAGTTTGTTTATTTTATGTCACATATTTTTTAGTTTTTTATGCCATTACCGTTTTTTTCTTTGTATCCAGTATTCTTTTATCTTCATTTTTTTATCAGTTATTCTCTATATATGCTTTATTTTTGCACCCAATTTATCTATTCGTTATTTTCTCCTTATTATCTATTCTGTAAACCTTATCCGGATCCACTATATGACCAAACTATTGCAGAATACAAACAATGGCTTTATTCATAACAAAAAAAGCACATTTTTGTTCAGGAGCCAGCTGAAGCCCGCCTCTGGGTGCGGGATTTTCTCGCTGTGTTGAAGACCCATTGATGGCCTTCGGCTGTTTTCTGCTCTTTGGTTGGGTTGGGTTGTCTCTTTGACACATTTCCCATTTCCATTCTCAATTTTATGAATTAAGATTGAACGCTTATCCACTCAAATACAGGCATTTGGCGCTCTGGATGTGTTAGACATGCTATTCTTTTATAATCATAATACATAGAAGTTTCTTGTGTTCTAAGTCAGACAGACAACACGCATAACTTGATGAAATCATGAATTTTCCTGTTTCAAACATTCATGACAATTTTGACATTTTTACAGTTTGTACTTATCATGCTTATGTTGTGTTGTTACACCGCTGTCTCAGGTTAGAGTGTCGAGTGTTCATGATACAAACATATTAAACCCCACAACATTCTTTATGAGTCTGTCCCAAGTCAGGAACTTGTAATTCAGTGGTTATAGTTGGTTGCTGTCTGTCAAGGGTATATTTGTTATCGTTAATTCGTAAAATTTAAATCATATGTAATCTCGTTTTGACAAGTTTTCTTAATACTTGAAATATTCAATGAATAATTAAACGTGATGATTGAATAGAAATATCATTTTATTTGCAGTTATTAGAAATAATTATTAATTGTTTTCTCTATAACAACGAGGTTTCAAAGTCCGTATCATTCACGAATTGGCCCGACATGGAAAGTAACCGAGCCGCAGTGCAGGCTTTACGGCGGTTGACAATTGCAGCTGGGTAGCAATCTTTCGCTGCAATGCCAAAAGTATGTATTGTGCGTCCTTCTAAGTTACTTGAATTTTCAAATGAAATTCAACAGATTTAATATCCAGAAAATGAAGGTTTCCGAACAAATAAAAAAGATCAACGTTATAACTTGAACGGGTAATAATTCGGGACCGAAACACTTAAATTAAACTTTTCGTAAGTTCCTGTTTACGTCCAACACGTGGTAAGTTTGTTTACATTTTTACTATTTCGCTATTATAATTATTAATTCATAATGAATTTAGAAGGATATTTGATCTTAAACAGTTATTATTTTTAGAACTGATGTAGAGAAATGAACGAGGGATAACTCAAAGGAACCAGACGTTTACTTGCATATCACCAGAGACATATTTACGTATGTCTCAGCTGATATCACGTACTTCTTCTTCTTCTTCCGAATACGGGAGTAGACTCCTAGGTAGGAGTGTAAAACTTCCCGGAACTTGTGTGCTATGTACATATGGACTTAATTTAAAAATAATATGACAAAGAAAAATCATTAACAATAACATATATACATTATGTACAGTGGCTTTGTAGTTTAATAAGTTGTTGTGGCTCCTTCAAATGTTAGAGTGGATATGCCAGACATACGTATTGCTTCAGGTAGTGAGTTCCAGTCCGAAATAGTGCGAGGATAAAAAGAAAATTTATAGAAATCTTTATTTGTTGATATTTGCCTAAATTTATGTTTCCCCCTAGTACGTCTATCAGATATTGTTAAATTGTCCTTAGGAACTTCCACTAACACCCAATTTATTTTATATAGCATAGTTAATCTAGCTTTTTTCCTTCTTATTTCTAAATTTTCCCATTCCAATGATTTAATTAAATTTGAAACTGCTCCAGGTGATCTGTCTTTATAATCATTGAAGACAAACCTGGCTGCCTTACGCTGTACCTGCTCAACCTGAGTGATGTGTTGCTTTTTGTACGGATCCCATACAGGGGAAGAGTATTCGACGACTGGACGGACAAGTGATGTGTACGTAAGGTTTTTAACCTTACGTGTGCAGTTTTTTAAGTTCCTACGAAGAAAACCTAAGGTTTTATTTGCCTTACAGGTAATATTGTTTATATGTGTTCCCCAATCAAGATCATGGCTTATAGTTACGCCTAAATATTTACTATCTTTTACTGCTTCTTAAACATGATTGTGCAATATATAATCAAAAGTGGAAGGTTTACTTTTTTTAGAAATATGAATAACATAACACTTCTCAGGATTAAAATTCATTTGCCAGTCCTCTTCCCATTGTACTAAACTAGATAAATCTTTTTGAAGTAATTTGGCATCAGAACTATTATTAACTTTCTATACAATAAACAGTCATCTGCAAAAAGTCTTGCATTGCAAGTTACATGTTCGGGTAGGTCATTAATAAAGAGTAAAAATAATGTTGGGCCTAAAACTGTTCCCTGAGGGACACCAGAATCAACAGCTAATTTTGAAGATTTAACACCATTTAATAGTACCTGCTATTGCCTGTCAGCTAAAAAGTCATTTATCCAATTTAAATTTTGATTCCTAATACCATAAAAGTTTAATTTCTGGGCTAATCTTTGATGGGGGACTTTATCGAAAGCTTTGGAAAAATCTAAAAGTATAACATCTATTTGGTTACCATATCCCAATGATTTTGCAAGATCTTGTAAACTGATGATAAGTTGGGTCTCACAAGACCTTTTACTTCTAAACCCATGTTGACTATCATTTAATATGTTATTAATTGTAAGATGTTTCCTTATGTTGCTTGTTATAATGTGTTCTAGAATTTTGCAACATATTGCAGTTAGTGAAACTGGTCTATAATTAATAGCGTTATGCTTGTCACCTTTTTTAAATATTGGTACAACATTATCCTGCTTCCAATCAGTTGGGATTTTACCAGTATCAATAGATTTTTGGAAAAAGAATGTAAAAAATGGAGACAATTCTTCTGCAAAATTATGTAAAAAATATGCTGGCAGACTATCAGGGCCAGTGGCTTTGTGTGGATTTAAGTTTTTAAGTAACTTTAATAAGCCATTATTACTAATAAATATGTCTGGCATAGTGGGGTGGGGACTTGTACCTTTATTTGGCATAGAGGATGTATCTTCGGTAGTAAAAGCCTTTTTAAATTGTTCATTTAGGATGTTAGCTTGTGTATTCGGCTCACTATATAATAAGCCATCCTTTCCTCTTAATGGTGAAACACCAGATGTTTCTGTTTTTTTACTTTTTATAAATTGCCAGAAAGATTTAGGTTTTTCTTCTAACTGGGGGCTAATTATTTCTTGCATGTACGTGCTCTGGGCTCTTCTTATTTCTCTTTGAGCAGTAGCTTTTAACTTTTTATATTTATCTTTATGTTCTTGTTTACCAGTTTTTTTAGCTTTGTTGTAAGCTTTACGTTGTTTTTTACATAAATGGTCTATATCCCTATTTGCCCAAGGGTTGGTGTACTTAGATTTAGTTATTTTGCTTGGTACATTATCATCTATTATTTTATTACTACCTTCTTTGAATTTATTCCATAATTGGTCAATATTTAAATTTTCATTAGCCTGAGATATAAGTTCAGATATAAAATGAGATGTTATGTCTTTTATCTTTTTAATATCAACCTTTTTCCATAAATAAATTTTATGTTGTGATTGTTTAGATCTTTGGGGCTTGCAGATTGCATCCACTAATACAATATCATGGTCAGATATACCTGGTATGGATTTTATTTTTGTTATCAATGCAGGTTGGTTTGTGCAGAAAAGGTCAAGGATATTATCTTTCCTAGTTGGAAAATCAACCATTTGTTCAATGCCTAAGTTGTTCAGCATATCTATAAATGCTTCATTCAGCTCCTTAGTATACAATGAGCCAGATATATTTTGCTCCGGCCATTTTATGTCTGGAAGGTTAAAGTCACCACCAAGCCAGAAGGTGGAATTTTTAAATTTTAATTTAAGTTCATTAATTTCAATGATCAAATATTTGTTTGAGATAGTCTATATCATTTTTATTTGGTGGTCTATATGCAGAAATAATAACTAAGGATTTAATTAGTATCAGTTATATTAATTTGGGCAGCAATAAGTTCTACATTTTTGCTTTTATATACTTCTTGGCAAATAATACCTTTTTTAATGGCGATTAATACACCTCCACCTTCTTTTCCGACCCGGTCGTTTCGGAATACATCTTCAAATAGTGTGTTTGGAAAAATTTCAGAAAAGATAATACATCTTTGTTTAGCCAAGTTTCATTACCAATAATAATATCTGGTTTAGATGATGTTAATAAATTTTCAATTTGAGGAACTTTATTTTTACAACTTCTAAAATTGATCTGAAGAACTCTTAATGAGTTTTGTCTATTAATATTCTTATTTTTTAATTGCTTCGTTACTGGTAGTTTTGGTGATGATGTAGCAACTGGGTCTCCAAAATTTTCATGATTATCATTTATATTGAAGCTTAAGGAAAAAGCTGAACTATCAGAAAGTACTGAATATGAGTTAGGGTTCAAAATAGAATTACCTGATGAGAGGTATGATTGAAAAATGGTTCTAGAGTGATTAGGAGTATCACATATCGGGCATATCCAAAGTGCTGATGAATTTCCAAACTTTTCATACATAGATGGACTTATATTTACACATCCAATATGACACCATTTATCGCAGTTATCACAAACAATAGCATCACTGTCCCAGGTACACTCATGCGAGCAAATAGAGCATGGATAACTGGAGTCGTTCAAGTTTGATGGGCCAGGGTTGGTTTCAACTTACGGTACTACGGTACTAGTCCAAATAATTATGACGTCTTGAAAGGCTATTATATTTTTTTCTTTGACGCCTTACATCGATGTAAGGCGTCAAAGAAAAAAATAGAATAGCCTTTCAAGACGTCATAATTATTATATTTTTTTCTTTGACGCCTTACATCGATGTAAGGCGTCAAAGAAAAAAATAGAATAGCCTTTCAAGACGTCATAATTATTTGGACTACTACGGTACATGATCATTTTTACATACAGGGTTTGGGTTTTGAAAGTTTAAACTGCGAAATTATTTCATTTGGTTTTAATGGTCACAAGTTATGATTTCAAAAAAAGGTTTCATTTTGTTAGATTTGTAATATTAAGTCTTTTCAAAACAAGCAAATTACAAATGTACTCAATAAATAATTACATTTCAAGGCCTATCTTCAATTTGATTGCAGTCGTAGTTCCACTTAAACATGCCGGAGTTCAAATGAACAACTATCAGAAAATTTCAAGAAATATTAAACAATTGACTTGATCCTTTGAATTTCCTAAAATACCGAAGGGTGGTGATTTTGGGGCTCGAGCCTATCTTGATCTATCTTGTACCCGGCCATTCCTTTTCTCCCGAACAAAACGGAAGGTCGAGAATTCTTTTTTCCAGATTATTTTCAGTAAAATCAAAGTGATAAAGTCACATTTGTATATTCTTGAATTACATCTTTAAATATTGAATGTATGAGATTACTATTTTTAATTTGGATGTTTTCTCTATACCAGAAGAAAATATATGTTTTGCTACCAAAATTGCTGCTACAGACTAACTATACACGTCCTCCTAGTCGGCTGTACATGCTAAAGAGCTCGGCAGAGGTCATGTTTCATTGTTATAGTGTACATCTGATGCCGACTTTAGATAAAACTTACTTACTTATATTATTTACATTACCTGATTACCCTATACTTACAAGTTTTCATCCTAAGGCTTCCTTCCTTCCTGCAACAGCCCAACAGTACTGACCCTTCTGTTGGGTGGAAAATGAAAATAGAGGGCAGCATATTTAAACTACTGTTATAGAAACGTCGTATGGATAAGAGCAAGAACACACTATATTAGGTAACAGTGGAGAATATTGAAAAAAAGGGGTCCATGTCCCAAGCGCATGTGCACATCAGTGCATGTATTATGGGATTGTTATCTGGCCAGCTATTTCAATTAATTAGTTATATTAGTAAAGCACTGCTGTCATTCTGAGTGGTAGATTAACAGTTTTATAAATAAATGAAATAGGCATTCCAATAGAAATCGTATCCAACTTTTTTACCGATGTACATGTGCGTGTGTTTAATTTAAATTTCGAATTTTTCTATGCAACTCGAAAAAAGGAGCACCGTTCATGATAAATGTTGATATATTGAGGCGACTAAATTTT